AGAGTGAGAACATGCGGGCGTTTGTTTCTGTTTCTTGCGAGTAGTTTGCTACAGAATTGATGGTTCCAGCGCATCCCCGATCCCTACAAAGGACGACAAACTCATCCGTGTTTATGGCGCAGTAGTAGTGGCGCGACGGGGGGGGACGGTAGTGGATGGGCGAGGGGTTCGTCTAATCAGTCTGTCATGATGCGACATTTGGGGTTGGGATCAGGAGTCTTGTGGAGTGTGTGAATGAGGGCGCGGCAAGTAAACGTAGTGGCAGGGGTGCGTATGAGGACCGGATGATGAGGTGAGAATTCGTCCCGCCGCCTTGGGGGGTAGATTGTCCACCAGTAAGGGATGGGGATCATGATGGTAATCTAGTCTGTAGGAGTCCTGAGGGAATCGCCATAACCTGTTTTCCATACGTGAACTAGGTTGACGAATTCCCACCGAAGCAACGGTAGAAAGTGTTCTATTTCTGCGCACCGTCGGCTCGCAGCAACTGTTTTGGCGCGTGCTCGTGTTAGAAAGCCGCCATTTAACCTGGTGTGAGGATGTGAGTTAGTGGTGTTTGGTTTGTGTGCATTGTTTGCTCTGGTTTGTTATTCATGCTTTCAGTGGTGTCTTGTTTGGGCGGTGGTTTATTTGGTTGGTTGCCGTTTGTTGTTTTGTGGATGTAGTGCCCGCACGCGCTATTTCCGTTTTTTTGCTCTTCAATGTTGCGTATTGGTGTTGGTTTTCTTATACTTGTTTGTGTGTGAGTGTTTCTTTGTTGTTTGACCAGTCAGGACCCTCAGCTGTAGGTCTGTTGGAGATTGCTTGAGGTCCACTCCAGACCCTGTTTGCCTGGGTATCAGCAGCAAAGGCTCAGTTGAAAATGCAGAAATCACAGGTCTTCTGTGTTGCTCGCGCTGGGAGTTGGAGACTGGAGCTGTTCCTATTCGGCCATCTTGCTCCGCCCCCTATTGTTGAGTTTTAAGAGCTCTTTGTAAATTTTGGGTAACAATCCTTAATCAGATCAGTCTTGCAAATATTCTATCCCAGTTTGTGACCTGTCTTTTCATTTTCTTCACAGTGTCTTTCAAAGTAGAAATTTTCCATTTTAATAAAATCCAGCTTGTGAATTATTTGTTCGATGAATTACACCTTTGGTGTTATATCTAAAAAGGCATCACCCAACCCAAGGTTATCTAGATTTTCTATACATTTTAAAAATAGGATTATCAGTCTTTCTTTCTCAAAATTTTGGATGCTCATTTGTCTTTGGTTTTGCTTATTATATTTTTAACCTTGCAAACAGGTTTACAATTTTATTTAAAAGTATTTTTTATCACTTCTGAATTTTGTAGTGAGGAAAATTTTTCATAATTCCAAGTAAAAAGAAATATGTTCCTTTTTTATTTTATGTCATAATGTATCATACTTGAATGATCTTCAAATGTATGCTGTATTGTTAAGTTTAAGAAGCAAGGTTCAGAACAGTGTGTGTAAAATGCTGGGTTTTTTTCTTAGAATGAGGTGTGTATGTATTCACATGTGGGTGCTTCTATACACATTCATATACATTTGCATGTATGTCTAAAAAGATACAGAGAAAAAGGCAATGAAAGGATAAACCAAAAAATAGTGCAAATGGTTACTTATGGGGGGTGTGGGGGGCAGTTAGTATGATAGAGGCAACAGGGATGAAAGGAGGATCATCTGTCCAAATATATTCCTTGTTTTATAGTTTTGGCTTTGGAACCACATAGATGTTTTATGTAATAATAAAGCAAAATTAAATCAAAATTAAATACAGCAAATCCTAAAATTAAAAAGAAAATTAAACACATGAATTTAACTGTGTATCAAGCTGATGACTTATTTTAAGTGACTTTATAGTAATACAGTTATACATCTCTAGGGGCATATATCTTAAGGGCAGAAAAATTGGAGGAAACAAATAATATTTGATTCTCAAATATTAGTAATATGTTATTTTTATTTTGAAACCATAAAATTTCGTGATAAAGCAAATAAGTAATCGTGTTAAAATCTCTAGTAACCAAAATTTGTAGCATTAAGAGCAAAGATGGGCAAATATATCAAAGATATATTTAATTTGTATCTATTTAAAATTCAATGAAAAAATTAGTATGAATTTATATGTATTTTTATCCTTCAAAAATATTTGTATTTCTAGCTTTGATCAATGAAAGGACCTAGAAATATGAATAGCATCCTAGCAGTGAGCATTCATGGGTTCCAGTTGTAGTCTTTGAATACCATTTTCCACTGAGAAGAACCAGGGCTTTTTGAAGAAATGTCTGATTCCAGATCTTGAGTAGAAAATATGACAAAAGTCTAGAACATTTGTTATAGCAGAAAGTAGCAGAGTTAAGAAAGATGGGGTTATGTCATAGGAACCAGTTTGAAGAGACTACCATTGGCCAGTTTTAGCAAGGAAAAAAGACTGCTAGGATTGAAAGTCATTCAATATGTTCAAAAGCTGGGAATCATAAGGATACAAACAAAACAAAGTGAAAAAACACATCGATCACCTCTGGAGGTTACTGGGGGATAAAGTCATTTTCAGTGCTGTAATATAAAAGAATCATGTACTTATCCTATTCTTCCCATAAAAACTTTTCAAAGTAACTAAATAATTAATGAGAGGAATTTATTCTTTATAGAAGGATTTTGCTAATAAATGAAGAAAGAATAATAGACTACCGCAAGTTAACAACCTTTATTTATTAAAGTAATATCTGTAGGAAATGATCATCAATGGCTACTAATATCCTCAGGCAAAACATGGATAGGGAGCAGGATACTATTAATAGACAGATCCAGCTGACAACATGTGACTCCACTGGTCAAACTTAACATTGAAGAGGGACAGCCAGTTGTTATATGTCAACTGATATGGTACCATAGGAAGTACACAACTTTTAAAAAATTGAACTTGTTCAAGCCCCAACATGTACCATTTTATACAGCATACATGAGATAGAGGAACATATTAAATGACATTTCAGGATGCTGTTTATCAAATCTAGGTGCCAGAAATTCTCCAAGATAAATGACCCAGTTTCTTGAATAAGTAATAGGCAGGAAATAAAAATGATGGGGGAACTGTTGGAGATTCAAAGAGAAAGAAAATATCAAGCCAAATGCATTATGTAGACCATGTTTGGATCTTACTTTGAAAAAACCAGTAATATAGTGATTGGACTCATCAGGGAAATTTTAACAATGACTGAGTTTTAGATGATGTTAAGGAATAGTTAATGTTTTATATGTGATATTATTGTGTTCATGCTAAAAACAATTCCTATCTCTTAGAAATACAAATGAAAATATTTACCAGTGAAATGATATAATCTCTGGAATTCCTTTTTTTTTTTTTTTTTTTTGAGACAGAGTTTCGTTCCTGTTGCCCAGGCTGGAGTGCAATGGCACAATCTCAGCTCACTGCAACCTCTGCCTCCTGGGTTCAAGTGATTCTCCTGTCTTAGCCTCCCAAGTAGCTAGGATTACAGGCATGCGCCACCATGCCTGGCTAATTTTGTATTTTTAGTAGAGATGGGGTTTCATCACGTTGGTCAGGAGGCTGATCTTGAACTCCTGACCTCAGGTGATCCAGCTGCCTCCACTTCCCAAAGTACTGGAATTACAGGGGTGAGCCACTGCACCCAGCCTTCTGTTAATACTTTTAAATAATCCTGTGAAGGGAATAAACAGAAAAGATCATTATCCTGGATGACAAGTACATAGGGTTATTACAATATTTTTTACAAATTTGAGTGTTTGAAATTTTCTATTATGAATTGTTCTTAATTTTAAAAAATTCAGCTTTAATTTTTTAAATTAAAATGGAATAGTATTTCATGTCATCAAAATAATAACTTTCTTCTTTTTTTACTTTTTCTTTTTTTTTTTTTTGATACAGAATCTCACTGTGTCACCCAGACTGTAGTGCAGTGGCACAATCTTGGCTCACTGCAACCTCTACCTTCCGGGTTCAAGCAATTCTCCTGCCTCAGCCTCCCGAGTAACTGGGACTACAGGCACACACCACCATGCCCGGCTAATTTTTTGTATTTTAATAGAGACAGGATTTCAGTGTGTTGCCCAGGCTGGTCTTGAACTCCTGAGCTCAGGCGGTCTGCCCACTTTGGCCTCCCAGAGTGCTAGGATTATAGGCGTGAGCCACCGTGGCTGGCCAAGAACTTTTATAATTTTAAACCTGAACAGTTGAAATGTATCTATACAATTATACCTGCAGGAATGTTACAGAATTTATTCTACATAAATGTTGCAGTTGCTCTGGAACCAACACGTACTTATCTTGAAACTACAGCATGAATCTAATAGTTTTTCTTATAAGTCATTCTCACATTTATCAATAATACCGGAGAAACCTTTGAGGTAGATATAATGCTGTGTATTCTTCCTATCATACCTACCTCTTACTAAGGTCCTAATACTTGTTTTTCAGGTACAGCAGGTACAGACTGTGCAGCAGGTACAACATGTCTATCCAGCTCAGGTGCAGTATGTGGAAGGAAGCGATACTGTCTATACCAATGGAGCAATGTAAGTTTATATGTGGAAGTCTTTTTAATTCCCCCACTCAGAGAAAAATAATGTACTTTTGAACACCTCCCACTATTCCCAGATTTTTTCCTTTTTTTCAAAGTAACTTTGTACTAGAACAGAGTTACTGAAATTAAGCTGATGTTTAGAGCTTTTATCTACATTTATTAAGAATATGCACTCATTTTCCTTTCACTTAACCCCACAGGATATTTTAAATTATTAAAAGTCTTATGCCCTTTAATAGTTATTCTTGTGCAGAGAAAAAATGTATATACCCCTTGTTAGTGATATCTGTATTTTAATGATAGCTTCTAAACTCTATGCTTTTTGTTTTTATGTACAAGGTCAATTTTTATGTGGTGGAGTTTGGGATTTTTAAACATTTTTAAAATAAGATATTCCACATAAAATTGCCTGCTACTCAATAAATCTTACTTTCCTACCTAAACCTGCCCCCTGCCTAAAACCAGGTTATCTCTTTTGCCTCAACAATAATATAAATTTTTATTTGGGCTTCTTAGCTGCTTCGGAATAAGACGCAGAATGTTATTATAAATAAAGGAACTAAGAATTATTGTAAGTCATTAGGATTGTTTCCAAATTGGCTTTTTTGCTTGCAACCCATAGGCTTCCTCGGTTAACCTAAAATGAATTCAGGTTCTCTCACTGACTCTTCTGCCCACCTCCCATGGATGTTGGTATACCCCGGGATGATAACCTCTGCTGTCTTTATTCTTACTACATCTACTCTTTCCTCGAGTGATTTCATTTATTTCCATGATTTCAACCTGTAAGTTCCATGAAGGCAGGACTTTTTTTTTTTATTCACCACTGTAATAACTTTTAACATCAGAAGTATTCATGACCTGTGAGTTCAGTTGTTGTTATCTATTATTATAACTAAAAACAGAATTCTGGTTAACTTCATATTCATTTTATAATTGTGACCAATGTACTTAAATATTCTGAGCTTTTTGTTATTGTTTCCATGGAAGTGGAAGGAGAATAATCTCACTCTTACTGAGTTTTTGTGAGGATACAAGGAAATATATTTAAACTGAATACAGAGCCTGGTACATAATAGATGATACAAAACTAGAAGCTTTTCATTGACTCTTACTTCTCTCATTTTTTGCTATATTTGGTCACTGAATCTACCCACATCACTACTGCCTAACGCTACCTCCATTCCCTATAAAATAAAATCTAACTTTCCACACTGGCATTCTCCCCATTCCTACTTCCCTAGCCTTATTTTCTACCTTCTAGGCATAACCAACTTTGTGCATTTTTCCCCAAATAGTCCCCCTTCATACTTCTATGTTTTTGGACATGTCATTTTCTCTGCTGAAATGGCATTCTCTGTCTTCTCTCCTTTCCTCCCAGTCTCCCCAAACCCAGTCTAGTGTGATCTTTATAGACAGACATGTTACTCCCTTCTTTGTGACATGGACCCTGACTCTACTTCTCTGCAGTTAGCTTATCCTTCCCTTATAAAGGGCAACATTATCCCCTTTTACTTACAGCATTGTACTATGAATGCTTGTTTATGTTTCCCATAGTAGGAAGGACTCCCCCTGAATGGAAACTTGGCATTTTGTTTTATTTACATTTACTTAGGTGATTGGCCCATGATAAAGTCAGTAAATTTCTGTTACCCTCTTAAATCTATACCTCTTTACATATTTTAGACACACTGTGAATGTTTTTCACTCTACTTACTTGTTGTTTAGGTCCAGGGCCCCCTGGAGCATGATTTTGGAATCTTTACCGTAAACTTAAACTATTGTTGGCATTTATACCAAATGAAAAAGACGCCTGCCACTTCGACCTTTATGCTCTCAGGGAAAATAAATGGCTTTCTAGACACTGCTAGAGGTCACCCAGTTGTCAGTTGTCATTTCATCTTTGTCTGTGATAAGCAGTAATGGTCACCTGCAGGGGAATGTGAGAATGGGAGTTTGTAGCTTTCATGACTGTTGTGGTAGAATGTGACAAGGGAAAAGGGCAGTTGGAATGGGTATTGAGAGAGTTAACTGTATAGTACCTATCACAGTTATTTCTCATTTTGTATTGGTCCAAGCTAAGGTGGAGAGATTAGTCTGTTAAGTATGAAATGGAGTACCAGTTGAGCTGAAAATCAGAAATCCAAAATACTCCCAAATCTGAAATTTTGTGAGCACCAACATAATGCTTAAGGGAACTACTCATCATGCATTTCAGATTTTAGATTTTCAGCTTAAGGATGCTCAACTGGTAAGTATATAATGCAAATATTTCAAAATGTGAAAAAGTAAAAAATTCGAAACAGTGCTTGTTCCAAGCATTTTGGATATAGGATACTCAACCTGTAACCTCAGTTAATCAAAAGTGCTTTATGTACCATCTAAAGAATAGTAAGCACTCAATAAACATTAGTTATTGCTGTAAAATTATGCACTTCGTTTACATTTTTCACTACTACTTATAGTTCTAAATTCTGCATATTGTCTTGTGCATTTTTAAACTGCTTTACCAATGATCTTAGGGTCTTCCGCATAATAGCTGAACATGAGTTGAATGAATTCATTCATTCACAAAACCTTAGAAAAACAGCATTTGTAAGGTAGGTTCTTTAAAACTATAGAGCCCGTTTAAGTGCAGAAATGATTCAAAGCAAATAACTAGTGCTAACATGTATTTTCTATGGCCCACTAGCTCAGTTGGTTAGATCATGACTAATGAGGTCTAGGTCATGAGGTCATTTGTCACAAAGTCCAATTAACTTTGATCTGGTCTGTGTGGACTCAAATTGTATCCTCAACTCTAGCCGATAATGTCACAAATGTGCACTTTTGGTCAAGAGGGAGAAGATGCATCTTTAAAAACCTTTCTTTACTATCAAGGATGATTTTTGACTAAAGGTTCTGTAGCATCATTTTTATACTTAATAAGGAAATGTCATTGTGTTGCCATGAATTATACTCAAAATTTTAGCAACTAGGGACTATGAATATTTTTTCTCAAATAGGACTAGAAAATTTTTTTCAGCATAAGCTATTTCAGTCTTTCTGTAATTTTGTAGTGCTGACATTTGACTATTACAATTTTTGTCTCTAATGTTCATTTTAGGGTCTTTCTGTGACTTCTTTTTATTTGGCACACTTCCATGTATGTTAGGAAAGAATATTCCATATTCTTCTATTCTACCACACTGAATTAATAGCAAGTTAGTGTTTGATCCCTGACTTGTATCACAGTCAGAGTCCCACTTCTATGTGATAATAAATGCTTTTTGCTAATGATACTTCCAGAAGATAGGGACTCTGATCTTTATCATGAACTTTTGAGCACCCAGTACATGGCCCTACAACCTGTGCATGCTTACTAATGCTCTTGTCACCAGTGTCCCCATGTCATGTAGCCATAATGCATGGGGTCTCACTCAAGAGGTGATGACAGCTCTCCCAGATATGTGTCGTCACTTATGAAAAAGTGTAATCATTATAATTTGATGATACTAAAGTGTTTACCTGGTTCTCCCTGTGAATATGGACAATTACTGCCAGCAAAGCAGGCATAACAGTGTGGGTTAGTGAGTGAGTGTACATTTCAGTTAAACAACTGAGACTGCTTTACAGCACTGTGTGTTGGAATATAGTAGCTTTTTGCTCAAGGGAGAAGGTAATTTAATTCACTTTTGCCCCTGTTTATTTTATCCTTGCTTCTGTAGGAACCTATGCTACATCATTTGTGTATTTCCTTGCAGTAGTTTTTCCAAGATTTTCACAAAGGCTTGATCATTATCTTTATTTCTATAAATTCTTACTATTTATGATATTTAATCATTTAGAATACTATGATTAAACCTGCTGGGAAACATTGCATACCATGTAGAGAGTTCATTTCAATGGAAATTTCTTGGTGTAGTTAAGAAATATTTTTTTTAAATAAAAAGATTTTTTCTTCCCCCACTCTTTTTTGACTCATACCTCCCCCACTTGCTCCTACATCATGCTAGTCAAAGTGGAAATAGAGACATCATGCTGTATTGTGGTCAAATTAAGAAATCTTAAAGGATTTTCTTATAAAACCATTCTTTGAAGCTTGCCCACTGTTTAGAGATAATCAGTGTTTTAAAACGCAAAATTGTTCATCGTGTGTATATCTGTTCTAGTAGTGTTCCTGTTTAGATTATAGATTTCTCAACTCCAGTACATAACTTCTCATACCATGATCCATTATACATTAGTCCCTTAAGAGTTCTGTGGTTACACAAGCAGGGAAACACTATGTGATTCACTTTCTCTTTAGAACACTCAATTCCTGTTACCCTTTTAAAAGCTCTGAAAAGTCCTATAGAAATGCGTAGAACCACAGAACACTTTTACCTGAATAATATCTAATAAAATCACATGTTATGCTTTGGGAAATGGTACACTAATATATATTGACATTGTATAATTTAAAATCCATTTTTAAAGTACTATACCTATAGTCATCTCTTGAAAAATCATGTATTAGTGCATTTTTGAAGTCATCTAATTATTTTCCCATACAGTTTAAATGATTAATAAGAAACCTTAAAAGGAATATTTCTTCAGTCTCTTTTCTTCTATAAGTGGAATATGAAATTTCAGTATTTGCAGGTGAAATTATGCTTTCTTCTTATTATTCAAATGCTGTCTCCTTAAGAGAAATGGTTACGTGGAATTCTGTAATTGAGATGCAGAGGTGCTTTCTTCATTTATGCTTCTACTTATGTACACATTCTGACTGGTATAGGAGTTGGTTTTTGAATCCACTTGCCATTTAGATTTCAGTAATTGTATTATGGCTGGTTACGTAGAAATTTCTCTTGGAGAGAGGACTGCCCTTATGTGGAAAAGACCATGAAAGGGCACCCTGTTCGCTGTCTAATACCTAAAACAATGGCCCATGATAGGTACTCAATCTGTATTTGCTGAATGAGTTAAATGAAGATTAGCATTTAATGATGGATGAGACAGGAGCTGACT